GAACTGGAGGTCATCGCATCAACGTTGACTTAATAAACAGGAGAGCACTAGAAATGGTCCCATCATGAAAGTTGACGGAATGGTTGGAAACTTTCCTCTTTCTTCTTTTCTTGATTTAGATTATTTACTCACTCATAAAATGTATATTAGTTCCCCACCATTAACTTCATAAAAAAGGGCATTATAAATGGTCTCATCATAAAAGTTTAAGACAGGCCGAGATTCCACGGTTGCAAACTTTCCTTTCTTTCCTTTGCTCTAGAAGTTATGGAAATAGTGATGGAAATAGCCTACGATTGAGCTATGCGGTGACTTTGTGAGATGAACTAGCGTTCGAGCGACGTCTAACAAAATAGTCTTACTATGCGCTGAAGTTTGAATTCAGAATTGAATTAGAAAGTATAGGTTCTTTCAAAAAGCTACTGATGGTGGCGTTATTCGTGGTGGGTGAGGGGAATATTAATATGATGAATGGTTAGCGCCGTCATTCAACGGCATGCTTAAGCTTTCGGCTACGTGTGATGTCTGAAGCAACAGCGGTACTAATTTAAGTTGCAGTCGTTTTCTAGAATGGTATGTCTCGGGGTAACGATGGAACCAGAATCGACGGATCTTGGGTTCTAACACTTGCTGGGGTCTCTTTCCTTCCATATTTCTGTGGTACGTAATGGTGTTAGACTTTGTGTAAAAGGAAACTGGGGGATTGCACACCATATTTGCCATGTGTCGGCGGACATTGCCTTTAAAATAGCGCAGGCTTGGCTGATGATATGAAAATGGAGATCTACGGTGCACTCTATGCTCTTTTGAAGGCAAAGTGCCGCAGATCGTATTTAGTCTTGATAGGGTAGCCGAGGTCCAACGTTATAACTGTAGCAGGCTTTCATTCATTTTTTTGTTGTGGCAAGACAACTGAATTGAATAAATTTTGCATCTGATCCATGTTCTTGGAATCGGATTGTGAACTTGAAATTGTGGTGCTCTTATTTTGGCAGGGAATCCTATGTACCGGCTTGCTACTAACGTTCCAGTATATTTTTGATAAGATCCATTTTGAAGTAATGACAGCAGTAGAAACGAATGTAAAATCTCTTTTCCGTAGTCTGTTTTCCGTCATGCTTGTATTGAGGATTTTTGTACTGAGTGAAACAGTAATTGGTAGTGTTTTCTTTAACGGAGGGTACACAGGTGTACAGTAGGAAAGCATGTACTTATTCAGAAGGGTACACCTTTGTTTCTTTGGTGCCAGTTCTTCCGTATAACGGGTTTTAGATGAATTTTTCTATAAGCATCTACCTGCTTTCTGGTTAGCTGAACTTCTGTTTTTTGTTACGACTGTAGCGCCCTGGCAACGTTGAAAATATATTCTAATACGATGCAAATTCCTGAATTTTCTCTCTCATTTCTACCGTACTATCTTTAGATCTGTTTTCCCCTTCTAACTCGGCAGAGCCGCCTCTGAGTGCTTCACCTGTCAGTTCGGCTTTGACAGCGGGATACAGCATAAGCGAAGTAATCACACGATATAAAAAGGTCGTTCAAACACTTCAAGCGACGTTGGTAGAAAATCGCCACCTGCGTCGTGACTTGAACGAACTCGCCGAGGTATGTACAGCATACCCTACAACGATGTACCAAAAACTTTTTTAGCATGTGGAGCAGAAGCAGATGCCGATGTACGAGGAGCTGAAAATGAAGTACCAAGATGTCCTGAGGGCTAACCAAGCACTCACAGACCAAATGAAGACTGTAGAAGATTCTGAAAGAAAGTTTTCAGAGGAAAAAGACCAAATCTGCAGAGAAAGGAACTTTGCGCAGCTTACACTGGAGCGGTTCAGGCGCGATAACGCCGACCTTTCCAGTCAGGTAGCGTTGACACCGCGGCGCTAGTTTGAAGGTAGTATTGATCGTTCGCTTTTCAGGTGAAAGTGTTGCTCAAAACGATTGAACTGCTTCGCTCAGGCTACCAGGAGCCGTCTGATGACCCGTCATCGTCTGAAAATGATACAGATATGACTTTCAGGTAGTTGTTTATAGTACT